ATATTGAGTCTAATCAACAAGAATTGAATGATGGAAATGTCCTAGATGGTGGTTCTCAGTTCCAGATGCAGGGGCGGACTGGCCCGCCGGCCCACCGGCCGGTGGGCCAATGCGCCTTATCAACATTCCAATATTTGCGCCCTCGTTAAAGGAAAAATTCATAAAAAATTAAAAAAAAATGAGACGAGATGTTTTTTTAGAAAGCAAGAGGAAAAACTTAGAGTAAAAGTTTCAGCAGTGAATAGCAAAACATAAAGTCGGGTGTGAGACCTGAATAGACACTGTCGACAAGCGAGAGCAAAGTAGCTCTTCTCTCTCGTACGTGTAGGCCTACTCCGAGTGGAAGGCACTTAATTAATAATATTTAATTATTGCTCACACTATAACTATTTCACTTTAAGTCACATTTAATTTTTATCAATGTCAACTCAACTCTCTTGTAAAATGGCGTTTGCCGTGCATGTAATAAATAAATAAAGAGTGTGAGCTGCCAATTAAAATGTCTCTCTCTTTAGTGAGTGTCAGATTTGTGTCTCTGTGTCGAAAGCTTCAATTTATTTTTATATTATTTACCTACACAGGAAACATGAACGAAAGCAGTATTGTAGAATCACTACTTTTACAAAATTTAAATTAGATTTAGTGACAGTGTATTTGTTAACTTAACCATTACACAGTAAAGGTTAAACAGTAAACATTATTTTAATACCGTATATGGCTACCGCCTATTAATTAATTATTTCAATATGCACTATGGCACTAATTTGGTCAACATTCCCATTTTACTTACAGATAGCCAGCTCAAAATACCTTCGTAGTTCTCTCTAGGCTATTTCGTTTGTAGAAATAGGTTAGGTAGGCCTACTTTAGGGTTACAGTTTTGACTTAATGTAATGCTAAAAAAGTTTAAGTCAATAAATTGGTTTTGTTCACAGTGAAAGAATATTGTTTGTGTTAAAATAATTTCATAGAAATCTAAAATATATAACTTCTGTTATTTACAGTGCCAAAAAATACAACAGTTGCAAGTTCAGGTTGTAAACAGGAAGCAAATGATTTATATTGTATGCATGCAGCCAAGTCATGCAAGGGAAAGTAAAGGAAATACACAAATATAATACGAAAGAACCTAAGAAAATCATTTGTATTTTTATTTTTGTTAGGATATTTACTGTCAGAATAGCACCAAGTCGTGTGGGTAAATAGTCTAAATTTTGTAAACCAAACATTGACCAATAGTGTCAGTTATCAGATTTCTGATTTTCCACTGTTAATGCCTCTAGATTGCCTAAAAATGCGAGTTTACAGGTATAATTTTTTTTAAATTTCCCGGGGGAGGACCCCCGGACCCCCCTCTGTACAGGGGGGTATTCCATACCCCTCAGACCCCCCGGTTGGCGCCTTCCGGCTGGTCAAGGTTTACGCCCTAATAGAGTACCCAGTCCGTCCCTGACCAGATGGCACCTGTTTTTGGGACAGAAGTCGGACCCTCTCGTCCCAAGTGAGTCAGATCATGAACAATAGTATTAAAAGTCTTGGTTTCGGTAATTGTTATAAATAAACCTGGACAAATGTAGCTGCAAACATAATCTTTTTCATTTTTAGTCTAATAATTATGCCAAAATTACTTGTTTCCATGACGAATATACATAACTTAAATAAACTTATATAATTATAATTACGAAGTGTTAGCCCGTCCTACGTACGGGAACTCAGTAGTCAGTTAAAACCGTGTACAATTCAGATCAGCTAGTTTACACATACAAAGACAAAGTTTCTTGCAGTTTTAATGTGAAAAATCATCTTGTAAACAAATGTTGTGTGACGAAATACGTTTTTATTCCATCATAGGCCTATACGATATGCATTTTAAATCCCACAATAAAACAACAATTTTGCAATTTTTACGATGTGAAAAGCGTTGAAGTGAGATTCGCAACCGATTCGCACAGACGCACACTGATTTTAAGTAGCCTACAATAGAGAGAGTAAAAGTCAATTGAGAATTACGTGTATAGACCTAGTCAACGATACCACCTTCCATAGCATACCTGCCTCTTCCATAATTGTTATCACCACAATACGACTACTATACACAATTTCCAGTAGGTCTGAATAGAAACGACCTAAAATAAAACGATAGTATCCAATATAATTCATAGTACACATAATTTAACTTTGGTGTTCTAACATCAAAACTAATCGTCACACATATCCTTTATATCAATTCCACTGCATTTAATTGCTAAATAAATAAGTGTAAACAAAGAAAAGTAAAAACAATAACAGTTTGTTTTGAAACAGCTGTTTGGTTCAAATAACATTCATTTGAAAAAAAAAACTGGTCACATGTAGCCTAGCAGGAATATAAAAAGTAAACACGCTAGTAAAGCTAATGACGTAATCTCCCCGCTGAAGCAGCATGGCCAGGGGCGGGGACTTTTGGTATTTTTATCTTCTAACTACCCCGAACACATTCCCGCAGAAAAAAATTTTCCCCCTCTCCATGTCCTCTACAATACCTGTATTGACTGGACTAATAATAAGTCTTTCCATAAGTTTGACTTGGTAAATAAACATAGTGTATTCGACAGAAATTAGTCATTTAGATCAGCGCAATCTGTTGGTGGCTCACATCAACTACGACAAATTTAATTAAAAAACTGGTGACAATGGGGATGGAATGTAAAGGTACAGACTTCTCTATTTGCACCACACGTTGTAAATAAAACATGTGATTGTAAATGTAATTTCTTCCATTTGTTTTGATTTTCTGTTAATATTTCGTTGTTATTTCGTCACCAGCATGGCAGCCCATAAAGCCCATGTTAATTTTTTTTAATTTCAAATCCATGTTTTTTTTTTTGCTTATATTTGAGCCTATTTTAATTTTTAAAGGCATTCTGCACTTCTACAGGAAAATATATTTCTAATGGTATGGGTAGATTTTCCCTGTGATGCACACGAACTGACAAAAAAGGTTTTAAAGAAACATGCTTGCCTATTAATATATAGATAGATAGATAGAGAGAGAGAGAGAAAAAAATTCTTTATTTAATACAAACTGTTTTGCAGCAATTAATACAAAAAAAAATAAAAATATCACATGGGTCACAATGACCTGTGCGTGATAGAGTCCTTAGCTGTCTGCTGTTAAAATAAAAGTTCTTTACACTTAACTTAATACACATAAAAAAAAAGAACTAACAATAACTTGATAGTCATTTATGTTTTAATTTAGGTGTTCACGTAATAGGGCTGCTGATATATTATATTATTGTAGTAAATAAGTACAACTGAGCACCCTGAATATTATATTTTTAAAAGAAGTGACATGTTTCGGACATAGGCCTAAGTCCATTTTCAAACTTCAAATACATTAAATACTTAACTGTTGTTTATATTGTTTGTTTGTATATAAATAAATATAATTTAGATATACAGATGATTTATAGAATTAGACAGGATTTGGAAAAAAATGTTTGTTACTGATTATTTAATTCTAAAATTTGGTCAAAGATTGGGTTTCTTGAAGGAATTTGGCTATTTAAAATATGATTTGGATTTTTTAGATTTTCTTTGTATATGAAATATTCTTCAGTCGAATCCATTCGATTTCCTTTGTTTAAAACTTTTAGAATTTTCATGTTGTTTTTTAAATTCGTGTAATTGTGGTTGGTCGATAAAAGGTGTTCAGCAAAGTTTGATTTCATGGATGTTCTGTTGTTACTCTTAAGAGCTTGAATGTGCTCTTTGAATCTAGATTAAAAATAGCGTCCTGTCTGACCAATGTAGAAGTGTTCACAATCAGTGCAGTTAAATTTGTATATGCCAAATTTGTCATAGATGTCTTGGTGTTCTTTATTTGTAGTAATGTTATTTGTTATCATGGATAGCATCAATCAATATTTACTTTTAAATCTCTCACCTCCAATTTTTGAAAGCCCACGGGGCAGAGTCCTAGGTCAATATCGAAGCGGGAATAGTTATATATGTATCCTCAGAGCTGTAGCTTCATTTGTGTGCAATTTGAGCCCAGTAGGTTCAGTAGTTTTTTAGATTAGCTCATACAAACACACACACACACACACACACACACAGACACCACCTCTTCTTTATAATAGTATTGATAGATAGATAGATTATATTTATTTATATACAAACAAACAATATAAACAACAATTAAGTATTTAATGTATTTAAAGTTTGAAAATGGACTTATGTCCGAAACATGTCACTTTTTTTTAATATAATATTCAGGGTGCTCATTTGTATTTATTTACTACAATAATTTAATAGATGGATAGATATCCCAGATTTGTCTTTTGTGTCATTGTTTGATTGTGAAAATTTGTTAATTAAATCAAATGAATTGGTTCTTGAACGCCAGTGGCATTTCACAAGAGAGTCACAAGAGAATGTTTTGCTGACTCTTCGCTAATTTTTTAATATGTTCTTTTTCTTCAAGAAAGTCTTTGATATTCATGGGAATGTTAATAAGTCTATTAATATAGGAATGGAATGATGCCATTTTGTGTTGCCGGGGATGATGAGACTGTTTTAGTAGGCTTTCTAAATATTTTAAATTTATATTTAATGTTTTCATTTGCTATGGTCAAATCTAAGAAATTGGTAGATGAATTTTTAACTTCTAATGTGAATTTAATTGATTTCTATATTGTATTCAAGTAATCCAATTGTTGATTTGAAGTATGGTTGTCAACGTTAAATAAGCATTTGATGTCATCAACATATCTGTACCAATATATGATATAATTTATCATTGGGTTGACATTATTTATGATTTTTTTTTTGTTTTCTGTATGTTGCATGTATATATATATATATAATATTATCATTGCAATGAAAGAGACCTTCAGATAAAAAATACACATCCAACCTTTATGTGCAGAATCTTATCAGTAGCAATAATATAATGATAAATAATAGGCTACATTGTGTAGTACCTACTCGAGATTTAAAAAAGATAAGGAATTCACCTTTTTTGAAAGACTCAAACAAGCAATGGTGTTAGACTGCATGATTGACAGCAGCAGTCGGAATGATGGTTCGAACATACTCATTTGAACGTCAGACAAGAAAACCTCACAACCTACAAACATTATATAATATTAGATCATATAATTTGTTAGCCATTGTAATACAGAGAGAGTTGCAGAACATAAAAGTCCTAGTATGATAATATTTTAATATACTATCTATAATATTAATCTTGAGTATGACAAATAAATTACTGTATTGTAATGATAAAATATTAATGAGCTTGGACTGCTAATGGGTTGTTTATTGCATCATTACCCTAGTAATACATTATGAAAAACATAAACAAACATCTGATAAACCTTTTATGGGCTCCTAACCAACTAGTGATTGCGGCAGATTGTGAAATATATATTTCTCTGCTTTATTTATGGGTTTTAGTTTTTACTTAAAGACTCAATACCTTTAGGCTAAATAAAGCAAAAAAAATATGCTGATGTGCGAGGTAGTGGAGTGGTGGTACATATTAATCAACATAATACAGTACCTAAAGATAATTTTCATGTGATATTCAATACACACAGCGACCAGTGAGTAACACACAACAGTGAAATCACCGCGAACTGTACTCAACGACTGACGGTTTGCTTGATGTTTCCCACTTCACTAAAACTATTTCTGATAATTATGTTAAATAAAGGTGGTTTAAATGTGGCTGATTAGTTATATTTATATTTTACGCATAATTTTATCGTTAAAATTGTAATAACATGGGGTTTATCAGTACAAATATCTTTGTTATGATACTACTTTGTTGCGTGCATAATTTATTCTTTGTTTGAAGTTGTTTGATGATTTTTTCATGTTTTATGAGCCTTTTTTACCATTTTTACTTATTTTTTATTATAGCGTTGTGGGTAATGAAATTGTTAGGAATTTAATGAGGAACCATATTTTCCAACATTAGTTTTAAAAAAATAATAAAAATAAAGGAGCTAACCTGATAAAACCGGCATGATGTCATCTTAAACCTGCCTCCTACCAGGTCTGAGTTGGAGACCAAACACCATTGTTCTTTTGGGCCCGAACCATCTCATTTGGGCTCGGACTTGACTCGTGAACCCACCGGGACTAATGATCAAAAGCCGGGACTATCCGTAATTGGACTCGTGAACCCAACTTTTAAAACCGGGTTTTATCCCTGCACTAATTGTGTGCAGCCTATCAGTTTGGTCCGCGGCTTATAAAGTCCCGAGCTCGTGAACCCGATTTTTTAGATCGGGGCCTAAATACCGGATTCTGCAGGGTTAAGTGTTGTACTGCAATGGCAAGTGTTTGTGCTATGTTAAGATAGATCCAAAAATAAGATTAACGGGGGTAAACAAAGATAAAATACAATATGGTTAAAAAAATGTATAGAGTATGACTTACAAGACATTACAGAGGTGACCACTGGTGATAGGTAAGGTTCATTACTAGTCCTGATGATGGCCTGAAGAGCTTTAAGAGCAACCTCAGCCGTCTGTAGGTCCCGGGGAGGTAACAAGTCAGCTCTGACAGTCTGCCACAGTGCTCCGAGGTGAGGAGCGATCACATGACCTGGCCACACTTCAGCCGCTTCCACCTGACACAACATAAAATCAGGCATACTTTAGGGCCACATTGTCTTGGCTTACAGTTAATCGCTTAAAAAAGGTAAAAATAAGTAAAAATTCTTTTTGTTTGTAATTTAATAAACACTGACCACATAAATTCTCTAAGAGTTCCTTGTACATTGAAGTAAAAGCATTTACAATCTGCACCATCCGAGCTTGAGCCATGCCACCCTGTCATACTATGTTTATCCCATTAATGAAGAATTTGTCTAGCATGCAACATACGGGATCAGTTTTTAATGGATTTAGCAAAGACGAGCAGAAGCTTCCCAATGAGTACTCCTGTATTTTGCTAAAAAATTTAAAATCTTTTTCGAGATAATTTTGAATTCCAATTTTGAGTTGCTTATGAGTCATACCGATATGTAGGGTTCTTATCCCAAATAATTTTAAAACAGGAAAACTGTGACAAAAATTTTTAAACTATGTCATAAGATTATCACATCTCAGAATGCAAAAAGATCCAATGTGATAATTTTTCACTCCTGATTGAAATCAAAGTTTTATTCAAAAAGGTTGTTGTACTTGTTGGCAGCAGCAACACCATTTCAAAAAATAGTTTGGCCACAGAGCCACTGTTTAGGGCCTACCAGTGTATTATTTGTGGTGAACACAACAGGTTTGATTGTAGTCTTGGTATTGATCTTTGCTGTGGTTAAAGGGTTAATAGCTATTTACTTTACAAGTGAAGTAAGAGCATTTTACATCACGCAGGTGAATGTTCAACCTAAGTGACGTAAACACGCTCTTGCGTAACGAGTAAAGTACAAGATTTTACCTGACCCGACAACATTCAGGGGGTTATGTACAATATTTTTCATGTCCCCACTATATACAGGACGGGGTAAATAAGTTAATCTGCAATATATAAAATGGTTTGTTTTTAAGTGAACTGTTTTTATTGATTACAATAAAATACAGAATGAGACCGAGTGAGTTTCAAAAACTCACTAGTGAAGTAATGAAACCCATTTAAATAACATTGAGGGCTCAACCTAATAAAATATACCTCTATGGAGCCAACGACGTTCAACGCTAGAAACCAGCTGTGCACTTGAATGTTATTGTTATGCTTTAAAGAATTTTCCTAACCTAGCTTTTGTTTGTAAAAGATGAGTGAAATGGATAATGAAAAATATTGTACTTAACCTCCTGTATATTATCGGGTCAGGTTAAATATTGTACGTTACACGTAACGTAAGAGCATCTTTACATAACTTAGGTGAATTATGCAACTCGCATAATGCTTCCGCTCGTTGCACAACATTCACCTGCGTGATGTAAGAACGCTCTTACTACATTTTAGCTATTACATTAAGAGGCGGTTTGGGAGCTCGAGCCCAGCTAGTACGCGCCTAGTGTTAGACGCGCCTAACTTTAGTCCCCGGACAAGAAACCAGGCTTGGGAGCTCGCGCCTAAGTTGAAATGGTCGTAGATCAAGTATAGTCGCGCCTAAGTTGCAGCGCAGCTAGATGGACAGGGAATCGCGGGGAATTCAGGTTTTGACGTTGGCAACGGCCATTGCAGAGCACGTTACCGTTGACAACAACAAACGATGAACAATTGAAGATGGATACAATTTTATCTTGGTATATCAGCGGTGGCTAATTAGTAGACTATGGTGTAAGTTTCTGCATTGTACCATTGCAAAAATTTAGTTTTGCAAGATTGTTGATTTACATCTCAATGACGGCTATTTTTTATCTCTGGTACTACACCTTATAAATACGTACAGAGCAACATAGGCTTCTGAAAATCAATATGATTTCTTTCAGAGATCAAAAACATTAGGTAGCCTAATCATTTAACAAAGATTACCCTGTGTGTGGAACGGTAACATCTGAAATTTGGTTTCATGCAATAAAAAGCTTCAAAATTAAACAGCAATTGCCCAGTATAATATATGGGTATTGACGGAAATAAAATAAAAAGTATTTCTTAAAATACTCCTCAATTACCTCCACAATTATAAGTAATTGCGGAGGTTATGATAGTGTGAAGCAAATGTATATCTGTTAATACTTACAAAAAAATTGTTGCCAATTAAAAAAATTTTAAACATGACACTCTTTTATTTAACTTTCCTATAGGGAAGTAGCTATTACCGTAGGTAGCACTTAGTTCCGGAACCGATATACTTTTCCATGTTGATGTCCCTAGAGGCCAAAAACATCCCCTATTCGTTCGTCCCTATTCGTTCTAATGTTTATATATGTATAGCCCATACATTATATACACGTCCATGAACGTGCCGTGCCAACTTGAGTAATTTTTGTCTGATTTTGATCAAATTTGGCATGAAAGTGTAGGGCGCGAAAACCTTAATGAGTACACGAACCAGCATGATCAGACCATGGGAACCCGGGGTTTTATGGGATAAAAATAGTTTTTTCTCAGTTTTAACCTCCTAAAACATAAATCTTTATCTTTAAAATATTTTAAAGAGTATAAAAAACAAATTAGTATCTTAAAATGTTTTGTACGGTTATTGGCTACAGAGACTATTCAAAAAATCGTAAATTTAAAACTCCCGTGTAGTTTTGTAGTTTATGGATATATTTTGATGAAACTTGGCATATTTATAAACGATAGATAATGACTGAGCAGTGAGCAGTGGTTCTGAGCAGTTTTTTATGATCTATTTTTATTGTTTGTTTTATTTCTTTACTCTTTCATAGTCGGAGGAGAGGGAGTGCAGGGGAATACAAATATGCTCACTTTTTCGTAGTGAATAATTTATTATAACTAATAGATTATTTATAATTAAGGTTTGGGTGTTTATTATCAAACTCTCGGGTAAAACAACTCCCGTTATCGCCCATATTTATATTGCTCTAACAATAAATACAAAAAACAAAATAATTTTTGGTTAAAAGCGATCTTTGTTTTATTTTTTACTTAAGAAACCTAAAATTTTTTTTTCAAATATACTTTGAGAGTAATGAAAATGTTCGGAATTTAATAACGAATTCCAATATAACATTCTTTTAGTTAATATGTAAACAATTAACTTGCTAATGAGCTAATACCGTCATGTGTAAAGAAAAAAGAAAAAACTCTCTCATATATTTAAATATTATATTTAAATATATCTACTCCTTGCAATGCTCTCAAAGTGAATTCTTTACAAATCTTGGTTGCCCCTGGGTTGGAAGAACTCGGAAGTAAAAATACAAAACAGAGCTTGGCAGTGGAAGCTTGGTGTTAAATAAATATTAGAGTGGGCCCTGAAAAATAAAAATACTCCCCAAAGGTCCTTATGGGACGTCCTTGGTACTGTTTGAAGCTCTTCCAGACTGCAATACCTTTGTAATAATAATACCAATCTTAAATCTACACTGAATTTAACCTGCTCACTACCACACTGATATTTAGTGTTGCACTTAAAAGGTGAATCTTTTGTAGTGGCCTATGATTTATTGAATTATCTTCTGTTTACCAATTAGATACTATTGCATATACTGAATTACCAAGGTTATTGAGAACTAAAAAGTGAATAACAATTTGATTTATTGTACAATATTTACTTAGCACAATGATTACAATTGGAAGTTACTGATTCTGTTTATGTAAGACAAAATAACCATTGAGCGACACAATCAATTAGAATTCCTGTGTTTGAGAATGTTGAATGAATTTATCAAAAGGGAAGATTCGGCGCGGCTACACACCGATCTCGAAGGTGTCAACGAAAGAGTGGTATTTAATTTAATTTGAGATGACCAGTGCCAAGCAAGTCCTGTTCGTTGGCCAACGATGTAAATATGAAGGTCGATTCTCGAAGGTCAACTGATTAAACAGTGTTGCGTTTAATCGTAGTAATGCTTATTGGAACGTCGCTTATTGTTTTATGGCTAATTTGGCACTTTGGCGGTTCATCTATATGCAAACTGACACAACCTCCGATAACACTTCCGGATTCAGCCGAACCAGCTACCTACTCCCTCCTTTGATATTAATTTGATTCCCCCAAATTTAAATACTGATTGTGACACTCTTTAACGAATTGTACCTTTAATAATGACTCTGTGTAAAATTCCAATACTATAAAAATATTACAAAGCAACTCTGAATTACCCTATAAAAACATTTTCATCTATTTATTCTTAATACTATTGGATTATCACAGTCTAATAAATAAAGCGGATTGTTACAATATGAATGGATATACAAATCAGCGAATTGAGATCGAACCTGTGAACATGTGCTTATTCTACATGAATTAACAAAACAAGACAGGAAAATTTGCAAAGTGCGACTCACTGAATTTTCAATATATATACCAAATAAATGACACAGATTACTTACAGTTTTGGACGTCCACAAATATGACACAAATAAGGGGATAAGGATGAGGAAATGTACCTAGTCGGTATTCTAATACAAACGCGATCAATTGAAACTCGTGTGACAATCGTGAAATTTTCAAATACGGACTGCGTTGGCCGGTTAACGAACTTTTGCACTTTTGACAACAACACTGATTCTAATTTCCGATCGCGAGGCAATTATATCCCTTAGGGATATAGGCTGAACGACTTTAAGGAAATTTGAGATTGCCCGACCAAACGCCGCTAGATGAATTTAATTTGCACGAACGAAAAAAGTTTTACCGAACTAGATACGTTGAGAGTTGGAGAGGAACAGATCACACAGATACGCTGGTTGCTGGCGGCTCGCTGCATTCCCCTACCACTTTGTGTTTGGAATTCTGGGTAATTGATCAGCTGACTTTTTGTTTTCGTCTGCTACACGTTAATTCGTTGTTTATACGACGAAATCGGTACACATGATGTCGACTTAGACCTGCCCCCTGGCAGGACTAAAGTTGGGGACTAAACTCACTGATTTTTATGACAAAAACATATCTCTTAGTCCCAAAATTGGTCTCCTAAACCCACCGAGACTATCTCTTAGGCTGGCACCTAAGTCTACTTGACTCCCAAACCAACAATATTTAGGCGCGAGATTATCCCTGCACAAGTTAGGCGCGCGCCTTACTGATCCCGAGCTCACAAACCCGTTTTCAAAGCGGCAGCCTAAAATACCGGAAATATCCGGATTTAGTCGCGGACTAGCGCTAATACCGAGCTCCCAAACCGCCCCTAAGTGTGAGTAACCAATAGTATTGAATAAGTTTTAACAGAACATTGTTTGCTGCCCATCATATAAGTCTCTCAATGTTGATATTTATGAGATTAAGGGTGCGCTTTACCTCAGCTCGGAAATCTCAGCTCGGGCTTCAGTAGCTATGTTTCACCATTGGACAGCGCTGCGAGAAGCGCTTGCAGACGTTTCCAAGATTACTGTTTTAGAATTAACAAATAATGATAGCTACGCACTCTAGACGGCTTATAGTAGTACAAAGACCAATCTATAGTTCTGCTATTTTCAAATGTTCAAAAAACGTTTTTTTTATAAGTTAAGGCTAGTTGAAAAGACCCTTTTTTCTTGTACTACAACTCAAGTTTATAAGGTGTGTATTTAAAATAATTGAAATATAGAAACAAAGAACTATAGAAAATTCCATCCTCTTTAATATGAGACCTTAACTTTGATTCTACCTTCAATGTAGCAGGTGAAAACAGAAATCTTGCAAACCCTTGCATTCGGTTGCGCGTCAGGGGTAAAGCGCGCCCTTAACACCTTCATTTAAATTACAGATTTTATCAGCATAAAAATAAAATGTTGCCTTTTTGTATTTTATTTTAATAAGTAATATGTACAGAGAAAATATTTGCTTTAGATAAATTGGGTATACCTGCTGAAAACTCCTCTTAACACACCTACTCATGTTCGAATCATGATAGTACATGTAAAAATACTTTGCAATATGTGTGTATTTGATAATAGCACTACCATCAAACAAAACTATAACGACAATTGAGGTGGACAAAATAGCCATAAGATTATTTCCCTATGCAACACAGGCTCACTTCTTTTTCCTAAAGTAGTAGATGAAAATAAACAAATATATTCTTACCAATAAATTATAAGAGTCAACTTTGGCAGACTTCAGGGAAGATTCAAGCTTCTCTTGTATGAGAGATAGACAGAGAGGTGCAAAGTCAGGGTGAGCCAGCAGACAAGGGTATAGGGCAGATACCAGGTCTTCTCTGGTCACAGACCCTGGATCTGAGGTTTGCTACAAACAAAACAAACAATACTTCATACATGTTAGCTAGATGCCAAAATGCTTACTATAGGCCTACTAATTATACATTTTAACAATTTAATCTGGTTTCTATCAGATTATTTACTAGTGTCCATACGTCCATAGCGGTTTTCAAACCTTTTGGTCCAGCAACACACCTTCACCTTGGATTTTTTTGGGACCCACATATTGAATAAGATCACTAAAATTTACTATCAGTCTACTATTTTTAGTAGAATAGGAACGGCTGCCAGCTCAGACTATCTATACTGTTCCGGCATTGCAAACACTGCCGAGTACACCTTTTCTTCTGTGGCAAATGACATGTCCGCCGAGCCTCTTTGATTTCTTAGCTTGACGTTGACATTTCTCCTGGCAACATTGTTGGAGCTTTTCTCCAGGAAGAAGGCATTTGGAACTGTGTCAAGTAGTTTGCAAAGGGCATCCTTTGGGCTAACGTGTAGTTAAGATTGATCTCGATCGGCCTCAACTGTAGGAAGAAACTAAGGAACAGTAGTACGAACGAAATAACTAAGGAAAATCCTAGTGGTGTAATTAAAAAGGCCTAGCCAGAAATAGGGTTGTGAAATTTCCTTCACAGGTGACAAGTTCCTTTTCCAAATGAATGTTATTTTAACTAAACAGCTGTTTCAAAACAAACTACCTGTCATTGTTTTTAGCGAATTTCCCATAGGGAATAAGCTATTACCGTAGGTCTCATGGTAAGACTTGGATACGGGACCAATTTACTTTTTCGTTTTAAGGTCCCCAGAGGCCAAAAACACCATCCGTTTGAATGCATATATATATATATATATATATGTATATATATATATATATATATGTATAGGCTATATATATATAATGTGTGCCTGTTAGGCCTGCTCAATAACTCGAGCAAAAATTATCAGAGTTTTAATAAATTTGGTATAAACGTGTAAACCTACATTTATTCAAACAAGTTCACGAACCAGCATGATTGGACTATGGGAACAGGGGTTTATGGGGGGTTTTATGGGGTAAAAATGGGGTTTTCCCATTTTTCACCCTGAAAACATAAAACTTTACAATTTCTTTCCAGAATATTTTGTAGAGCTCAAAAAAACAAACAATTAAGTATGTATAAAAGCGTTGTTGTATGCCTAACGGTTAATAAAAAAATTCCAAAAAAGTGTAAATTTAAAATTACCATGTTATTCTTATGGAGAATAAATAAACTGTTGTAGCTTGCTTGTCTATGGACGGACATATTTTGATGAAATTTGGAAAATCTCTTTACTTTATACTAAGCTATCAATATTTTAATAGAAACACGTGACCCTATTATCTCCCTGTAGCAGCAAACCTACGTACTCATTAAAATTAATGATATTTAAATAGGAAATAAATCTGACAATTTTAAGGGATGGAAATTGTACCGATTTTGTTGTAAAAAGGCAACAAATCAATACAGGGTAACGCGAAGAACAGTCAGCTGGTTTAAACAATAGATCAGTATAGACCAGAATGCACCACGCACTAAAGTAGGAGGGGGAATAAGGTCTAGCCGGATGGTCACTTGCTTCCAGCACTACCAGTTCCTATCCAAATCTCATCGTAGCTAGTTCGGTAAAATTGTTTTTCGTTCGTGGAAATTAAATTCATTTCGCGGCGTTTGGTCGGGCAATCTTATTTTTCCTTAAAATCGTACAGCCTATATCCCTAAGGGATATAATTGCCCCGCGATTGGAAATTAGTATCAGTGTCATTGTCAGAAAGTGAAAAAGTTTGTTACCGGCCAACGCAGTTCCGCCATTTGAAAATTACACGTTCGTTTCACGAGTTCAATTGATCGCGTCTTGTAGAATACCGGCTAGTTACATTTCCCAATCCCTTCCCCTTTATTTGTGTCATATTTGTGGACGTCCAAACTGTAAGTAATTTGTGTTATTTATTTGTTAATTTAAGATTTCAGTGAGTCGCACCTTTGAAAATTTTTCCTGTCTTGTTTTGTCATTTCATGTAGAGTAAGCACATGTTCACAGGTTCAAATTCAATCACTGATTTTCACATCCATTCATATTGTAGCAATCCGCTTTATTAATTAGATTGTAACAACCCTATAGTATTAAGAATAAATAGGTAAAAATGTTTTATAGGGCAATTCAGAGTTATTTAATAAGATTTTTATAGTGTTGGAATTTTACACAGAGTCATTGTTAATTTTCATTGTTGAGCAAATGGTACAATTCTTTTAAAGAGTGTCACAGTCAGTATCTTTTGGGGGTAACAAATTATTATCAGAGAAGGGAGCAGGTAGCTGGTTCGATTGATACGGAAGTGTTGTTGGAAGTTGTGCCAGTTTGAACATAGATGAACCACCAAAGTGCCAAATTAGCTATAAAATAATAAAGCAACATTCTGATAAACATTACTACGATTGAATACAATATTGTTCAATCAGTTGGACTGCGAGACGACCTTCGTTTTTAATCGTTGGCCAACGAAAGGATTTGCTTGGTACAGGTCATCTCAACCATTAGATTAAATACCACTCTTCCATTGATACTTTCGAGATCGGTGTGAAACCGCACCATACCTCCCCTTTGATAAATCCATTCAATAGTTTCAATAAATTTCCAACTGATTGTGTATCTCAAGGTCATTTTTACTTGAAAGAACACAACAACGACTGTAAACTGAAATAAGTGTATTATTAAATTCTGTGCAATAAACTCCAATTGTTACTCACTTTTAGTTCTCAATAACCTTGGTATTCTAGTATATGCAATAGTATTTAATTGATAAACAAAAGGTAATTCAGTAAATCATAAGCCACTACAAAAGATTCACCTTTTAAGGGCAACACTAGTCACTAGTGTAGTAGTGAGCAAGTAAATTCAGTGTAGAATTAAGACTGGTAAATTGATCTCATTAAAGGTATTACTTTATTGGAAGAACTACAAACAGTGCCAGGGGCGTCCCCTAAGGACCTTTGGGGAATATTTATATTTTGCAGGGTCCACTCATATTTTTCAATAACATCAAGCTTCCACTGCCAAAAAGCTCTGTCTGATATTTTTATTTTCTAGAGTTCTTCCAACCTAGGGGCAACCAACATTTGTAAAGAATTCATTAAAGAGCATTGCAAGGAGTAAATATATTTAAATATAATATTTAAATATATGAAAGTCTGAGTTTTTTTCTTTACAAATAAATGATATCATCGCGTGGTTCCTTGGTACTGTTTGTGTCTGTGCGATTCACTGAAATTGTTTAGATTATAAGAAATTCTATTGTTATTGCCATCGTCATTGTGTATTGTGCTGTAATTAATTGTCAATTGGTTTTTGTCATCGTGGAATATTCATTTTGTTAAAGTCAGATATTACCGTAAATCGAATTATTTTCCTAGCGAAAAAATGCACCAACAATTTGGGCCTGGGTATAATACAACTGCGAATGACCGACGTGACCGTATGTCAAGGAGAAATTTAGGGGAATTAATCGATTTAAATGCAACGATCAACCATAACAATGAAATAGTTCCACCAAATGACAATGGAGCTAATCTAGGTAGACAAAATTCCGATTGTCGTTTACCGATCGTGAACGATGACGAACCGTCGCCAAGTAGACAAAATTCCGATTGTCGTTTACCGATCGTAAACGATGACCAACCATCGCCAATTAGACAAAATTCTAATAGTTGTTTAATGGACCTAAACAACCACGAATTGACTGAAATACTATCAAGTACGTCGAATATAAATCAAAACAACAGTCATGCCAATAGCTCATCGTATGTGGATATTCAACCTTCGAACGAGTGTGTGAGAGAGAGAGAGATAGCGAATGCACAACAACGCGCGTCATTTCCTGTAGCGACTGGTTCTCTGTCTACTGTTGCCCCGGCCAGTGCCACTGTACAGTCGCAACACACCCTCACTGACCATACCCAACACCCACACCCACACACTCGACCTCTCACATACACTCACCATGACACACACGTACACGCTCACGCATACAATGTCAGTCAATCACTTTCCAAAACTGATCAAATCGTGGTAATTGAATTAATTAATAAATTGAACATAGTCGACGGCACAGATGAACTTGAATTAATTTCATTTCTCAAAAACATCAAACCAATATTTGATATTTCTCCGAATTGTCATACAGAGATCATTAAACTTATTATCCCTAAGGTCAAAGGTCAAATGTTCCAATTGTTCTTAGAAGCAGTATCAAGTAACGCACGCTGGAATGTCTTACACGACGAGATATTACACAGATTTATTCCGTCAATTAGGCGACGAGAGATTGCATCGTTTGAGTTAGATCGACCACAACAACCGAATGAAACTTTTTCAGAATACGTCGATCACATCATATCTATCGCATTCGCTTTAAAATCGTCAATGTCAGAAGGCGAGGTGATTGAGATTGCTTTGACAAAATGTAATCCAACTGTTCGAAGTCATTTTTCGTTCGGTCAAATGCCGCAAAGCTTATTCGAGCTAAAATCATTCGCAAATAGAATCACTAGTTCAATGCGTGCCGAAGAGAGATATTTTGGTAATGCAAATCGACGCCCTTTGATTAATTCGTCGCCTAGGGTTGTAAACCAAACTCGTCATAATCCAACTACGTCGTCAAACGATCTACGTAATAGACCCAGGGAAAGGATCGTAAAATGTTATCGTTGTCAAGGTGAAGGTCATATCGCTAGGAACTGTAGGGTTTCTTTAAACTAGATTCCGACGTTGTCAAGGGCACACAACGTCGAACTGTAAAGTTATCGCCCAACAAAAGCATGCAAGCAACAGATGTATCCGCGAAACTGCCGCTGATTAAGGTATTGTTTGGAAACAATATAGATTGCCTATCGCTGATAGACACTGGCAGTAGTAGGTCATTGATTAGTAAAACACTTTTTAATAAGTTGAAAAGTGCGAATTTGATCAAACAGTCAAGTAAAATTAATCAATCAGTAGAAGTCGCGAACC